CTCAATATTTCAATTCACTCAAAATTTCCTCTAGAATTTCCAGCTACTGTAGGAAATTCAACTGGATTCACCAAATCTCCGCGCACCACTGACTTTACCTCAAATCAACTAAACCTCGATTATTTATCAATTCCAAAACACCTCGCAAAACGGTGACCTGAACTACCTCGTATTTCAGTACCTCCAGAAGTCACTCAGAACTTCGTAGGAAGTCCAACCGACCTACTTCTGAGTTTGTACGCTCCTGACTTTTTACCTCAAGTCAGCTAGCCAAATAAAACGCGAATAACTCCCAAATATCGAGATCACTTCTCGAAACCTTATTTCATTCTATTCGAGTATTTCCCAAAACTCTGCAGGAAATTCAACTGGCCTTCGTATGCTCCTGACCTTTATTTCCCAAAACTCTGCAGGAAATTCAACTGGCCTTCGTATGCTCCCGACCTTTTTACCTCAAGTCAGCTAGCCAAATAAACCGCAAAAATTCCTCATTACTGGAATCCCCTCGCGACTCAATGTCTTAAAACACGTAGCACCTCAGTCCCTTCAATAGCTTACCCAGCAACCTCTCCAAAGGGGCCAACCGCCCCAGGCTGACTTAATTCTTTCTCAAAATTTTCCACCTTAACTCTGTTAGTAGATGTAATTCAGATAATCTCATAAAAATTCCCATGAATCAGAAAGTCTGAAATTGTTTCCAAGACTGGTACTCTTAACGTCCTCTACATGCCCAGCGAATAAGTCCGCAAGAATTCCCGACTGGTCCCCGATATTTCTAATGTAGTGAGCCTGCTACTGATATGTAGATGTCACTGCAAGGGTTATTTTGATATTTTCTCCGTCTCGAATAAGAGATATGTAGACTATTCCGGACGGATTCTATAATTTTATCATGTCGTTATAATTAAAGCTGGCACTTTGAACTCATAAAATAAATTTCGATATTTATTATACTTTCAAGTACTTCTTGACAGTTATTCTAAATGGGGTACACAGACTGAATAATATATTTTCTACCCTCAACGACAGGATAATGAAATGAATGATGAGGTTGGATGTTCTGAAATATCAGATTTCTTAAACATCGAGCTGTTAATTTTAACGACTTTTCCTTTGAATGGATTGGCTCTAGTTGACCTAAAATCATTTCTGAAAGCTTATAAAGGTTCCCTTGTGTGATATCCTCGAAGAGACTGGCAAATTGGGTCTTGTTATCACTTTGCACGACTTTAGGGCGTCCAAACCGTGTGATGACCTCTTTATATAGCGC